ACTCCAACTGAACTGCAACAACAGAGTCAGTGCTTTTAACTTGTATAATCACATGCCACTGGGCCATAACCAGGAACAAGTTGGTTGGGTGTGCAAATTTCTCCACAGATCGTAAATAACACGTGTAATTTCCACTACTATATGACCCATATAAAAAGCAACAAATATGGCAGCTACTTATAAACTTCAAATTCATTCTTCTATCTCAAACACAGAATGAGAACAAAACGGAATGACCGAACAGTGTTTCAAAAAGTATCAGAAATATCGTTAATACACGCAACCTTTCTGGAACAAAACAATACCTGAAAATAGCGACTAGCTGTAACAATAGGATACCACACTAAAACAAAAGTCAAACGTCAATTACCATTATATATATATTTTATTGAAGTATAGATACTGTAGGTAATTACCAAATCTTAGGTATTCCAAAGGTGTCTTCATCCATAACCTTTTTTTTTCATTTCAAGTTTGTTTGAAAATCCACACTACTAGAGCATAATATTTTTGTCTAAAACAGCGATAGTAGAAGTCTAAAGCTCATACGTACTGCAAGTAGGCTTAAGAGGAATTTTTAATGTTAAGATTTCCTTTAGCATAAAGAATGGGTGTCGTTGATTCAAAAAAAAAGAAAGCAAAGCAAAGCACAATTCATGTAATTAATTATCTTATTTACATAAGTAAGCAAAATCATTTTTATGACAATAGATAGCTTATTCAGAAAACTAGAAACGAAATATAAGTTTGTTTTCTAATGGATAAAACGCATAACTCTGTTTCCTTTGTTTGTTTTTATAACTTTGTCGCAAAGCAACACAAAGACTGTGTGCGCATTGTCGTCCTTGATTTTGAAGGAAAGAAGGCAGATAGTAAACAGCACTCACTTATTGAATTTGGCTTTATCTCTTACAGAATACGTCTGCCCAAAATCTGGGGCTCATTTTTGTAGCAACGGAAGAACCTTGACTTTTCGGATTCAAAGAACAAGCACATTCACAACGATGCCACGCCCGGCTCATTGTAAAAATTAATATGCACGTGCCGTGACTTTATACATGATATCTATCGCTCAATAATATAATTATTTACCTTCTTAATAACGTGCGCATATATATATATATATATCACAAACTCCTCTTTTATATATATCAGGCGCAAATCTGTAGGATCAATAATTAGGATAATAAAAACACACAACATTAAAACGGATACACAAGTAAAAACGTGTTAAATTAAAAATTAACGCTGTGCGCTATTTATTATTTTAGTAATATACACTAGTGCCAAGAAAAAATACTAATAATCAATACTTTTATTATACACAATAAAATAAAATAAATAATTCAATTAGGTTTGTTTGTTTGTTTTGGTTTGTTTGGTTTGGTTGTTTGTGGAATTTCACGCAAAGCTACACGAGGGCTATCTGCGCTAGCCGTCCCTAATTTAGCAGTGTAAGACTAGAGGGAA